AAAATTTTAAACTATCAATAAATTGAAGCTGGCCAACTGAGAAGGTAATATATTGCTCAGAATTATTTGCTATAGGCCCTATTTTTTCATCCGTCACTTTTGCTATTTCTTGCATTAGATGATAAAAATCGTAGCCACTTCCATTACAAAATAATACCGGAATTTTTATTGTTTCTGGATTGATTCGTAACTTGAGATTACAACTACTATGCATTGCTCCGCGAAACTTTCCTGTAATATGATCATGATCTATTTTACTCTATTTTTTCCCTCATCTGGTAATTGTGTTTTACAATACATACATTTTTTACATGTGTTATGCACTTTTTTTTGTTTGTCATCCAACTTACCTTTAATAATTGATCGTTTTCCATGACATTTTCTATGTGAAGCACCCAAATATTTTTTAGTTTCAGGATCGAATACACGAATTTTATTATATCCAACTTCATGTAATTTTCTTCACATCCCCAACATTTATTTGCCATTTGATATTTTCGCCATAATTTTGGCGTCATTTTTTCACATGAAACTGGATCACAAAGCTTATCTTTAATGACATCCAAATCTTCTTGAAGGTTTTCTAATAAGTCTTTTATTATATTTTCTGATTCTCTATTAATTACTGGCTTTTGTGTAGTTCCATCTGAACAATGTATTGTATATCCATATGAAATTGCTTTTTGCTCTGCTACTTTTACAGTATTTCTTTCATTATCTTTTTTCTCCACTTCGATCTCTTCTGCTTCTAAATCTATATCTATCATATAGGGTTTCATTAACATATTTTTGATATACTTGGGTTTTACATAATTCTTACCCTCTTCAGGAAGAATTAATCGTTGTGGTGCTTTACTTGGTCCTGGACATGTTGGAATATGCTTTTCTAATAAATCTAGTCGACTATAAGGAAATCGTAAGCATTTTCGGCAAAAGTATTTTTTTTTCCATGATGGTTATTCCACTACGCATTAATCGAGTAAAATCTGTTATAAGTACATAATGTGTTCTAAGTCCTTCAGGTATATCGTTAGGATTTTTTCGGTCATTTAAATTCTCTTCACCTTCTGTCAAGTATAATAAATCTATCATATGCTCTACTTGACAATTTCTTTCAGAGATATGTAATGGATCTATATCTACTTTTATTTTTCCAAATGCTTCTATATACACTGGTCTAAATATATCTATAGCATAGTTTGGGTTATTTTATCAACATCATGTAGTGTTGCTGGAAAATTTATACCTTCAAAATTGGCTATGTTTCCATTTCGTCTAAGTCTTCGGATTTCATTAAGATGAGGAGGTTTTTTATTTGCTTTTAATGCTTCCGCTCTTGTATAATCTCGAGATAACAACACCTTTTTGTACTTTTTTTCGTTGTACCTTTCATCTGTGATAGAAACGATATACACAATAGCTGAAAGACTTGTAATCATATTTGATGAATAATAATAATTAGTAGTGATGGAACGACAGTGTTAATCTTCGTATTTATAATTTTGCTTTTTTTACATCGTTAATTTTTAAATAATGTTAAATAATATAAAAATGTATTTGTTATATTTCAGTCGAAAACTTTTTTTCCGAGTACAGTTGATACGTACACTATCAGAATTCGGACAAACCCGATTGTTCCATTGCCGATGTGATGTGGACGAGTCCGTATTGGCCCGCGTAAACATAACGCCTTATTTTATTGATGGTTTGCAATGGAAAGTATGGCTGGTAGCCACTTGTGGTTTTAGGATAGATTTACCACGGTAAAAGATTGGAGATTTTGACGGCTAGTGTTGAATGACCAATCAATATCTGATGATTTTTCCTTGAAAGATGGTTACGGATGTTAGCTTAGTATTGATCGTCACACAATGACTGATTGTGTGATAGGTAGCGCATAGCATGGATTTCATTAATGTTTTCTATTTGAAAGACGGTTAAAAAGAGTTCGATTATTAGCGTTATTTTGCGATAATTGATTTGTTATTGCATGTCGAACTATTCAATGGTATTGATTGGTCGTCACACAATGGCTGATTAGCCATGTGTTTCATTAATGTTTTCTATTGAAAGACGGTTAAAGAATTGATTCGTTATCTATTCAATGGTATTAATGGTATTGATTGATCGTCTGATTATGTGATGTCTTTTCTTTATTTTTTCTTACTTCTCCCCCTTTCTCTCATTCATTTATTTGGCGTGCTTGCTTTCTTCATCCGTTGGGTAGCCATGTGTTTTATCAATGCTTTTTATTTGAAAGACGGTTAAAGATAAGCGTCGATATTAGCGTTATTTTTACGATAACTGATTTTGTCGAACTATTCGATGTTTGTGATTGATCGTCATAGCCACATGTGACTATAGAAGCGGTAAAAATTTTTTTGATTTTAACGGCTAGTGTTGAATGACTAATCAATATCTGATGATTTTTACTTGAAAGACAGTTAAAGATAAGCGTCGATATTAGCATTATTTCTACTATAACTGTTATTTGCTTGTCAATGTTTGTGATTGATCGTCATACCACATCATGTGACTATAGAAATAAATTTACTGCGGTAAAAAAAAAATTGGGGGTTTTTTTTGATTGTAACGGCTAGTGTTGAGTGACTAATCAATATCTGATGATTTTACTTGAAAGACAGTTATAGATAAGCGTCGATATTAGCGTTATTTTTACGATAACTGATTTGTTGTTTGCTTGTCGAACTATTCAATGTTTGTATTGATTGATTGTCAGCCACATGTGGCTTAGAAATAAATTTACTGCGGTGAAATTTTTTTGATTTTAACGGCTGTGTTATAATCATTAATGGTTTTTATTTGAAAGACGGTTAAGGATAAGCGTCGATGTTAGCGATAACTGATTTGTTATGTGCTTGTCGAACTATTCAATGTTAGCATTGGTTGATCGTCACACTTATATGGCTGGTAGCCACATGGTCTTTAGAAGTAGATTACTGCGGGAAAGTTTCAGACTGATGTCAACATTTGATTTGTCATTGATGATTTACTTGAAAGACAGTTGCGGATAAAGTCGCAATATCAACGTTAACATTAGCGTTATTTTCGCGATAAGCGGATTTGTTACTTGCTTGTCAAACTCTTTAATGTTAGACATTAACTGATTGTCTTAATTCCTGTTCTCTAGTAAACGTTTACTTTCAGTTATGACTGCTTTCTACACACTGCAATTAAGGGAGTACGGAACAAATTGTTTGAACAGATTGTCATGTATAAACAGAACTGCGTGACGGTGTAACACGAAATTTTTTTGTTACTCCCACAATTTTTTACGGAAGCCTATATAAACAACCTCCCTCCCTTATTCAATTTATCATTGAACTTGAATTGAACTTGAAATTGAATTGAATTGAATTTAAATTTAATTTAAATTTAAATATAAATTTATGTAAAAACAAACGCTTATTCGCTGCATGATGCTAACTAAATTTATCTACACGCCTTACTACTTTTGTGAATCAATCGTTGGATGTTACCAATGAAATAGTGAAATTGAAATCAGGTGATTGTCGAATAGGGGGGTTGACCTTTTATTTGTGTTAATGAAGGAGGTGAGTTTTGTTTTCAGTTTAAAGTCAGACTCGTTATTTCCAGCTGTTGGACACCAATGCATAAGATGAATGTTGCGGTTTATGCCTTTTGTAGCAATGTTTCCTCGGAAATCTTATTTCTTCCAGCATTTGATAGAAGTGAGTATTTGTTTGGTGACATTGTTGGTTAATATTAAGGAAGAATGGATAAAATAAATGCCAAACAGATGAATGAAAGACATATGCACCACATACACGAATGCTAGATATAACATTTATGCCTTCAAATGCTTGAGTATATACTGTTGTAGATTGAAATGAATGTAAATAGTAAAGCTGAGACCATTGAGATTTCATCAATAATAAGTGTTTGAAATCTTATCATGGAATTCTGTTTGGTGAATCTGTAAAGCTGAATGTACTGTTGAACCACTTACATTTAAAGCTGCAACATCTGTAGGTGCCAACAGAAGGCAATTAATTATTTTGGTTTGCATTAAATAGTTGGCTCTGATGCTAGCAATGTATGATTTGCCTGTTCCTGCAGAACCTGAACCTGTTATAAAAAAGTAAGGATATTCCTTTTTCAATATTGGACCAAGATTTTGAATGATAGTATTAATGACACTGTATTGGTCTTCAGCTAAATCGAGCAGGACAGTCTTTGGTAGCATAGGTGGTAAGCAAATTAGGGATTTAATTTGGGAGTGCAGTATTTTGGTAATGTTTGAAGCTGAGTTCATTGAATAAAGCTGTGAAATTGATTTTGGATTTGAGCTTTATAGCTGGAACTTGATATTTTGATAGCTGGTTCTATATTAGGATTTAAATGTAGATAATGTTCATGGTAAGTTGGAAATTTACTGAGTAGTTCTTCTTCAGATTGACAAGGTAATGTGCACAATTGTTGATAGAAAAACGGCTCTCAATCATCCATGGATTGCTTTGTCAGATATGTTGTTAGCTTTATGATCAATAAAGAGACCTTTACCAAATCTACTAACTCAGCAAAGTCAGAAATTTATAAAGAACTTGATAATTTGTCATTAGACGTTCTTCTCCAATGTTGTTAGATTTTGACACTTGAAGGTTGTTATTTTCGCAATTATTCCCTTGGTGTTGCCTCTTCAACTTCGAATCCATTCTCTGCCCGCCCTCGCATCATACGATTTTGACAGCATTAATAGTATGATTTTAGCTGTCGTATTTGTGTGCCAGTATTTTTGATCAGCCGTATTCGTTTTTTAAATTATACTCATTAACTAGATGTGTGTACTGTGCCGCCCGATTTCATCGGAGTATATAGAACCTCTGTACTGTACCTTTTCAAATTCTGTACTGTACTGTTCTTTTTTTTAAAAATGATGCTGTCC